CCACTTAAAATGTTGTACTAATAGAGTAATTAAAGAGAGAAAAATAAACAGAAAGCGAGGCTTAGGCAACCAGAGAACAAACTGCATTCTGTGCACTGGCACTGCATCTCCTGCAGCCATCACCAGGCAGAATGGAAGGAGGAATTAACAGAGCTTCAATCTCCAATGCAATCTACTACAAGAAAATCAGACAGCCAAAAAAAAATAATGAAAATAAAAAAAATCAGTGCAAGATTGTCCTCTGAGCCTGGAAATGGAGCCTCCTACAGATGAGGCCATCACTAGGCTGCCTGCCTGCACTGCCCTGATGGCAGCAGGGAGCTCTGCTGTCCCCCAGTGCCCCAGCAGCAGGTCCTGCTCAGCTGATTGCAGAAGCGTGTGCCTCCAATGGAGCTGCTCCCAGCATGGCTGCCTCATGGAGCCCTAGATTTAATGCCTGCTCCTGATTTCAGCCTCCCAGGGCCAGCAGGAAGCCACGTGGAGACATAAAATTGATTCTCTGGAAATGGTTTCTGGCACTGTCTTCACTTTCTGTGCCATTTACATGCTGTTTCTAAGCAAGCTGTCAGTAAGGAACAGCTCAAAATCCAACCCACCATCGAAATCACTGCTTTGTTAATACTTGGAGGAATGGGGAGCAGGGAAGGACATAGAGCGATCACCAGCATCCCTGAACAGCATGTGGGAAGGCAAAGTCTGCCAAAGGGCATAGTGGGGGCATTTCAGAAAGGAAAACCTGCACCCTCATGCTCCAGCTGAGCAGTGGGCCATTCTGCCCCTCTGCAAACAGCTGGAGGATCCTGGGGACACTCAGCCCTGTCCCTGCCATGTGCCAGCAGCACAGGCAGCAGTAACAGAACCACACGTGCTGCACTGCAGCACGTTTGCAGTTTAAATGCTTTTAATGTTGCTCACACAAACATGCATACATCCACCAGAAGTATGAAAGTACAGACCTAAATCTTAAAGGTGCAAAACTCTGGCTAAGTTGATCTATAGCCCCAGCCCCAACAGCATTCTGTCTCAGCAGCCTCCTCAGGCTCTCACTGCTCCTTTGCTCTTCCAGTTCCCCCAGTTGCCAGTCCACTATTTATCCTTCTGACTTCAGCATCTCACATGATGAACACTTTTATATTACTTGGGTTTAAGTTAAATGGCAGCCTGCACTGGAGGCAGAGGAAGAGGTGTCAGCACGCAGCTCTCTGTGCAAAACACCCCAAAGAACAGAAATGCGACAATGTGATTTCAGGAGTTGGAATATGGAAACAAAGTCAGATTTCAGGTACATGTACCCGAGGCTCAGCCACATCTCCCAAGGAGGCACCAAAGGGCACCGCTGAGCCCCTTCCCACACTCAGCTGCAGATTGTTTGGACAGAAGCACGTCGTCTCATTTGGGGATAAGGAATGGAGAGCTCCGGCCTCCAGCAGCCCAGCTGCTCAGGTTCTTCCTGCTTTCTAATGACAGAGCCCAGAACAAAGCTGATTCTTGAATACGACATTTTTTGCCATTACTTCATTTTGGAGCTTTGGGAATCATACAGGACTGGGAAGCTGGGTGAACTCCTTGGGGGTTAGAACTTTGGTCACCGTGGAAGTTGGTAGGTGGAATATGAAGACACAGAACAGGCACAGAAGCGACACGGGGCACAGCTCAGGAGTGCAGAGGGACGGTTCAGCCCTGCCCTGTTCTGCTGCTCCGGGTCGGCACTGGGATGCACAAACCTGAAGGGTGGAGCTGCAGAGCCAGTGCCATCAGCTGAAACAAATAAAGAAATGCACAGACAAAGCTGTTGGGCATTACTGAATAGGCCATTAACGCTACAAAGACACAAAATAGGCAGTGGGGAGTCACGCCTATAATCAAATTTTAAACGAGATAAGGGTCAGAATGAAATGAGGGGCCGGGCTGATTTGATTCTCTCTGCTATTTAGGAGAATTGCATGTTTCACAATGGAAGAACTCAATAGCAAAAAAGAAAAAAAAAAAAAGAGGGAGTAATTACAGTTATTTTGTAACAATGAGCAATCTGGGAAGAGCAATCCAATATTTTTCCCCACTTTAAGCTCAAAGTCCAGTTGTTTTCCATATCTGAGTTAACTTCATCCATTTACTTCCACGCCTCAGAAGCTTTTGGGCTGACAACAAAGTGAAGAAAAAAACATTTACAGCCATACACCACTGCTGCTGCAGAGCAACTCTCACAAGGAAGCAGAGCACAGCACGGGGCTGACCCTGCACACAGCTTGTCCAGACCAAAGGCAGCAGGCAGTGCCTGCCAGCGGGCACTAATGGAGGCAAAAGCTCTGTCCCCATCCCCGCCTCCTCCTGCGGACCCCTCAAGCTGCACCTCGGGGCTCATTATCAAACCCAGTAACTGTTGTTGCAAACCAGGGTGCGGAGCGCTCTGCCTGGAAAGGGCTGGCATTGTATTTCTCATAATAAGTTTTAATTGGATTTTAGCTCGCCTCCTTTTGTATTTCATCTTAGGCTTTACTGGTTTAATTACAAATCCATAGTTATTTGTTATGTGGCTCTGGTCTGATATTTTGCACTGACAATTACATTTTTATTCAAAGAAAAATGTATTGGGAAAAAATAGCAAGAGACAGGCTTATTGTACAGGCTGATTAATTGAATTCCAGCTTCATGTGCATTTATGGTGAATGATTGCATGCCAAAGAATGACTGGGATGTTAGATGGGAGCGCACTTGCTCACACTAATTGGTTTGCACAGAGCGCGGCAGCAACCGAGTGCCTCCACAGCCCAGCCCACAGCACTGCACTCCAGTTACGTCTGTTAGAGATCCTTCCACAGAGAGCAGAGGGAGGATGGATGTTCACATGTCAGCGACCTCATCCAAAGAGAGCAAAGACAAAACATCACCGCTCTGTTCTTCTGACAGCTGCAATTTAGATTTAATTACTCAGAGCAAGTTTACTAGCAAATAAGGCACCGCGTGCTTTTGCAAAGAAAATAACAAGGCCTCAGAAGGACGTCTGCAGTTCACGGCCACGACAGGCTTTTAGAAACACTGAGCGAATATCACAGAAATGGTGCTTACACAGAACAAACCCAGCAGTGCTGCTCTGCCCATCTCACTCTGGCACTGCTGTTGGGTTCAGTCCCATTGGCTGCAGGTCACACTGCATGCATGTAGGAGCCCATGGGCTGTGCACGAAATTGGAGCCCCACAGACACCCACCCACACTCCCACCCTGGTACCAGGGGCTGTTTGCCTCCCACCCTGAGCTGTGCTGGGAGCTGCTTGAAGGGCTCTGCCGAAGCTCTGAGGCGATGCCACGTTCCTGCAGCTCAGCACCAATCACAGCAGAACTTAACCTAAGACAGCACGGAGAAATGCAGCCTGACAAACTGCTGCTCACAGAACCTGCTGGCGAAGCAAGTTTTGCTGCGTGCTTTCTTCATCAACCCCGGTTAAACAGAGCTGACCACATGCTGAAGCTGTTTCATCACCCTGGCTTTGTCACGTCCCATGGGATTATCTCTAAAATAGGCATAGACAAACACAGCCACAGGCACACAGCACAACTGGGCTCTGAAGCAGGACCTGGGGTGCAAAAAAAAAAAAAAAAGAAAAAAAAAGAAAACAACCACACAACCCTTATTGGAGGCAGGAACAGTGCAATGACAGAAAAATGTGCTAAAACACACAGCACAAAAAACAAGCACTGTGAGGGGGCTGCTGCAGGCAGCGCATGGAGCCCTGAGATCCCAGCATCATTTCAGGAGGAGCAGCCTCCATTCCTCATCATCCCTCCCTCTGCGGCCACCATTTGAGGACCTCGTGGCATTGGTTCTTACACAAGGGACTGATGGAACAAAGCAGGGACTCTCAAGAATCTGGAAAAAAAACACACTGGAAAAGTATATTTCACAGCTCCCAGGTAGGGCCATGGTGTTCTGTACCAAAGTCACAGCAAGTAACCAGATTTTCAAGCACTGGTTCCAATGAGAAAGAAAAGGGAAAGCTGCTGTGTGCTGCTGGACTGCCACAAGACGTGCCCATCAGCATGTTACTCTTTCATCCATCAGCCTGAGACAGACCCACATTGCCACAAAGCAGAGCCCACAGAACAGCACACACAGGGGGTTGGAGGGGGATTCACTCCTGCCAGCAATACGAGTTTAAACTGCCCCATTTTTATAAGATAGAATACTCCTGTTGTATCACCAGAACACAGAGTAGAAGCACATTCATAAAAATGAAATAATCAAAACACTCATTATAAACTTCTGAACTGAAACGCGAGTGCACAACAGCTGACGAAACATTAATTCTTTCCTCAGGTGTGTCTACAGTTTGCAGTACAATACTTCATCCTGCTTCGCTCATTCACAACATCCTTCACTTTTACTGCCGTAGTCAAACCCTTCATGCTGCACAGTGAGAGGGTCCTGAGGACAACAGCATTCTGCAACTGTGTAACATGATGGAAAACACAGCAACAAGAGCAGAACAGCAAAGATCTTGGCTACAGCAGATGAGGATACAGTCAAAGCAGCAGCCATAGACACAAAAACAAGAGAAAAAAGCCACTTACCTTCAGAAGGCCTCAGGTACACAGGTATCTCCAACAAAATACCCTTGCCTCCACTTTCAGTCCTTAAATGAGGGCTGGAAAGGGGTGGATCCCGGCTCCAGCCCTTCCATCACTCAGTACATTGCACGCAGCTGAGCTCCCCTGGGTTGGCCCTGCCTTCCCACCAGGTGCTCCATCACTGCTTCAAGCTGTGGCTTTGCATTTCTGCTGCAAGTTGTCACCACTAAGTGGACAATAAGCAGCCTGCATCTGGCACTGGGGCAGTTGTCCACTTTACTTTTCAGACCCCGTCAGCATCAAAAATTATTAAAATATTTATTAATTATATTAATATAATAATTATTAATAATTATTAAAATATTGCTTTCTTAAGTAGAAAAAAAGCCCCAGAAACAAAGAAACCACCTATCTGGTTCTTCTTGTAAGAAATCACCTGGTACTGAGCAGGATGGCAGCTGAGGTGCCAGGGCAGGGTTGGCCATTTGCAGCTGGGGAGCACATGTCAGCAGGTACCTGTGAAGGGATGGGAGAGAAAAAGAAACAGGCTGTGAGTGAGCATAGGCTCGGTAGGACCTGGTGTGCTGTTAACAGTGCAGCCCTTACCAAGAAGCCAATTCCTGCAAAGCTGGTTTTGCAACACCTGAGGCACTGCATATTTAAAACAATTTAACGTTCAGCCCCAATTTAGCAGCTTCTATCTTGGCAACATGAGAGCACTATTGGCTTGCTGATTGTTTTCTCTTTATCAAACAGGAGGGAAGAGGCTGCTTGTACTGCACCTTGTAACCAGTGCTGAGTCAGGGCACTGGGTCGGTTTGCAGAGAACAGGCTGTCTGCACTCTGCAAAACCAAGGGAGCTTTGCAGGCAGTCCAAGCAGAACTGAGCAGGCTGTCCGAATTGCTGCAGAGCAGACGAAGAGCAGCCGCCGCCAGACCTCGCCTGGGGCTCCGGGCAAAGCTGCGCCACCAGCAACACAAACTGCAGGGAACCAACGTGGAAGTGAAGAAGGGGCGATGGGAGGGGGCCGGACTCAGGCACAGAGCAGAGCGGGCTGAGAGCACACCCCGATTTACATTCGCTAAGCTTCTAGTTCCGGCCTCGGTGGTTATTTCTCCTCGCGTTATCTTCCTGAATGCCCCACTGCTGGGAGGAAGCGATCTGACTCTCGCTGCCCTCCGACAGCTGCGGAAGAACCAGCAGCCACAGCCCTGTGACAGGGAGCTCTGCATGCTGTGTCACACCGTGTCCCAGCAGCATCCTGAAGTGAGTGCAGCGACTAAGGAGGAGCACTTCATTCATTAGTGAAACTGAGGGCACTCAACAAAACAAACCCCCGGGGAAAAAAGCAATCCTGTGTTGAAGTAAAGACTGCAATAAAGGGATGTGCTCAGCAGTGCTTTCAGTTCTAAGCAGGAAAAACATTGAAGTCTGTGAAAGAGTTCTCTGTCCTGCTGGCATTAGTATCAGCTCCACCAGGCAAGCTCTTCTAGGGAAAAAAATGTTCAATCTGTAGCAGAAAGGTGGGGTTTTAAGGAAGAATTGGCAGCAGCCATAAGCAAGTCAAAGCCAGAAGGACCAAAATTGCACCGCCGCATTCTCATTCAGTCCAATCTCAGCTCTCACCATTCGCTTCCACCCCTGCAGGGCTGCAATTAGCAGCACCTCTCTGCACCCAGACTGCAGCCGTGGGGGCTGAGGCGGTGTGACAGCGTGGCAGCCATATTTTAACCACCAGTTATCTCAGCCCCATTGCTTTCTCAGCATCTTTAGTGAATGACTGAGCATGCTAAAATATCAACGTATATTTTGAAACAAACTCAACTGGGTAAAAACTGATTGCTAATTGTGAACGTGCTGGGTGTTAATTAGGGAGCATCATAGGAGAACTTGTAAGAAATGCAGGCATGTAGGGAAAGTAACACTGTTGATCAGAATAGGAAACAGAATAACCTAAAAACATCCTTAAGAATCCAGGAGTGCAGAAAGCCCTAACAGCTGATACGTTCTTGGAATCACCTCTATTTTTGGACTGCAGGATCTGCATTTCTTACCGGGGGGAAAAAGCTGTTCAGAGGAACAGGATTTTGCAAGCCTGAGTTCCAGCAGAAGGATAGCACAGGTGAAAAATGGCAGAGAGTACAAGAGAAAATGAGTCCCTGGTGGGAAAGAACATCTCAGCTGGAGAACACCTCCTGGTCCTGCTGGGAAGATGCATTGTCAAAGCAAAAGGGTTTGCTGCCAGGAGCATAAGAAGGCCAGATTGAACTCTGTGAATCAAAACCTGGCTCTGGATTAGCAGAGCATTTAATTAGGCCCAGAAAGCAGCCTGGTGGCAAATAAATAAAAATAATAGTAATAAGGTGGGAGTAAAAAAAGATACCATAACAATTTGAACACATCCCACCATTAGAACCAGCTCACTTCCATCCCAGCAGCCAGACACAGTGGCGCTTCTTGCTCCCTGCACCTGCAGCACGGCCATTTGCTGTATCCCAAACCACCACTGGCAGAAGTGCTGTGTGAGGCCCTACAGAGCAATAATTGAGGAATTTCTTTGTGTATCTATGCACCTGTACAGCTATGCCATCCGGATGTAAGTGAGGACACAGCTTGGTGGTCAGAAAGCTCTCTGCACCTCAGCGCAGGGCCAGCAGGGCATCAGAGCAGGGGGACAGAGCCAGAAGAGGAAGCAGCAGCAGCACAGGGGAGGTTTGCTCCATAGCATCTGCAGGGAAGGGACACCTTAGAGGGAGCATGTCACACCTCTCAGTGAATCCCAACTGTTCTCAGCACCACTGCCTTGCACATGTAGATGGAAAGAAAAAGCTCTGCAAAAGGTTAAGCTCAGCAGGCCGAGCTCTCGTCCCTCCCCTGCACAATTTCAGTGGCTGTTCATGTCCTGGATGAGGGAAGTACTGAGAGCCCCCCATACCACCAGACACACACACACACACACCATGCCACGCAGCATCCCAGCAGTGCAGGACTCTCTGCTCCACCTGCTTTGATTACAGACTGCCTCCTGGTTGCTCTTTGCAACAAAGAAGAGATAACGAAGGTGTCGTCAGGTCCAAGCATTCTAACGTGCTCTTCTCCAACAAAAAACTGATCCTTCCATCAGCTACAGAGCAAAGCAGCCTGCTTCCTTCCACGGGTGCAGGCATTCCCATTTACACACAGATTTATGTACGTTAAATATTTCATACACATACATATGTGACTGTCTAGAAGGCAGGCAGTTGTGCAAACAGAAGCTGCTGTGCCTCAGGAAGGCAGCGGGCTCACAGCCTGCAGCTGCACAACGCAGCACAGACAGCCCAGAAGGGTCACAGTCCCCCTGAGCTGGGATCACCAGGGCCATTTGTTTTGCTCCACCACTGCCTTCAGAGAGCACAAACATCATCACGCTGTCCAAGGGAAAAGGTTAGGAAACATAGAAAAGAAAGTCGCCTGAGGAGAGATGTGAGCACAGGGAGCTGGTTTGAACAACTCAGCAAGGGAAATGACAACAGTGTTGCAAGGGGAACCATCAATTTTATTTAATGGTAAACAGCTGCATGAAAGAAAAACATTGTTAACTCGGAGGGAACAACCTGATGGGAAATGTCAGCACGGCCACACAGAACAGCCCGGCTTCACCACCACCTGCACAGCCCCGGGGCTCCAGGTTGGGCGAGCGCATCCCAGGGAGCGCTGATTCACTGAACTGGGGCCGTCCTGGGGGCACACAAGGAAAGAAAACGATTTAAGCTGTCCAGAGCACCGCAATGTCTGAGAGCCGCACTCAGACAGTTCTGCGAGTCTCAGCCCCTAAAAATTTACAACAAAACCGTTTGCAAAGTGAACATTTTAAATTACGCAAACAATGCCTCTGAAACCAAAATTCCTTTGATTCTTTTCAGGGAGGGCTTCAGGGAGTTTTCCTCTTAGGAAGAAGAGGCTGCAGGATCCAGAAAGGGCTGCAGGGAGCTCCCCCTGCACCTCTCCCTGGAGCACCGCAGGGCCGATGGTCACTGAGAACAGATTGCCCTCAGGTTACAAATGTAAGAACTCTGCTGGTGGGCTCAGGGAGCATCCTCGTGAGTGAGGAACGATACTGACATGGAGGAGCTGAGCCGAGGGAAGCAAAGAGCAAGGTAAAGCTCTGATAGTTGGCAGACGAACCATCAGTATTAAGGCTATGGCTGAAGTCCTGGCTGCTGCCAACGAGCACAGAACAGCACTGCTACACCAGCTCTAAGGATTCAGGTGATCAGTAACAGCAAGAAGAATCCCCCCCCCCCCCCCCCCATGCAGTGGCAGAGCCCTCCGAGTTCAACAGTGACTTATTGGTGCACACAGGATGCTGACATCAGAGCAGCAGGGGAAGCAGAAGGTCTGCAAAGGCAGAGAGTTGCATTGTATCCCTCCCGTGGGTGCACAGGGGGGTGATTCACCATCACTGAGTTCAGTAATGCTGATGCATTGAGCAATTTTCCACAGCTCCACTGTCCTGCAGAGCTGAGATGTGGGCCAGGCTGCATGCAATGGCCTCAAGCAGGAGCCCAATGGGATGCAGGACACTGCAGGAGCTCCTTCTGCTGCAGAGCAGCACAGCGGGGAGAGGCACTGCCAGGGTCTGATCAGCTTACATTAAAACTGATCAAAGCAGTGGCTCTCACTGCACCCCAATATCCAAAAGGGTCCCCAAAAACACAGATGATATCTGCAGCAAATGCAGGCTGGTTTGCTGAGCAAGAGCACTTCTTACTAAAACACTTCTCAAATGTGTGTGTGGGAGGGGGGAAGGGGGGGATGGGGGGGTTGTTTTGTTTTTATATTATTTCCCAGAACAGCAGAATAATGTCTATTCTCTATTTTGTATTGCTACTCACATGACAGAAGATATTCACATAAGAGAGTGGGATCTAGGACCAACTCCTGCTAATGTGGGTGGATGCAAATAAGGCACTTAACTTCCAGGTACTCTTGAAAACCCCACTGCATTTCCCTTGTATCTCTGACAAGAGGCCTCCTGAAAGTCAGGTGCAGTGCTGTTTGGTTTTTTGTTTGGTGGTGCTTGCCTTTCTTTTGAATGAAGATTTAATGCAGAGTTTACCTGCCTCCCCTGAAATTCTTGCTCTTAAGATGAAAAACATTAACAGCTATTACAACTGTCAGCTGGGTTCCCAAAACAACTCCTTATCTTTTTCTTCAGAAAATGAAAGCATTTTTTCTCTTCTTCCCCTTTTGTAGGAACGGCAGCATTGTGTGCCAACATCTTCCTGGTACTTTGTCATGCACTCACCAATGAGATGATCTGGGAGTGTTTGGGAGGCAGCAAACAAACAGAAGGAAGCATATGGTGCTCGGTGAGAGCAGCGACGCCAGAGCCGGCACTGCTGGGATCGCAGAAACGCGTCTCAATTGCAAATTGATTTCACAAAACCAGGGGAGAAAAAAATAGTTAGTCATATTTCTAAGGAAATAAAGTGAAAGGAAAACATCGGCTGTGAACAAACCAAGCATTGCTGCCAGGATTGGTCATTTATTTGGTTCTGTTTTGCTTTCCTGCCAAATCTCCTTTTTTTTCCTTCTACCCCAAATTCTGACACCCAAGAGGGGACCGATTTGAGAACTGGAAACCCCACAAGAAGGACAAGAAGCAGATTTCAGAGCAGCTAATGGAACCTTGCCATTAAGCTAACAGT